GCACCACATAATCCTCACCGCAGCAATTTTCTCCGGTATTACCGGAGCAAGCACCGAAGGTGGAACACACAGTCCTGCCCCCAGTATAGGGTATTGCGGCAGAGGCGAGAGAGGCCGGTAACTATACATATAAATGAGTGAGGGTTGCACATCTGTGGGGATCGGCATGATGGAGACTTAGACTTGGGGGACGGGGGGAATGAGGCATTTATGAAACTGAAATCGGTACCCTCATAATATGCCGAAATAAAAAAAAAAAAAAAAAAAAAAAAAAGGAAAGCTAATCAACATCTCGGATAATGATAATTAACAGTGTAAGGTCTGACACGATCTCTTTCTTTCTTTCTTTCTTTCTTTCTTTCTTTCTTTCTTTCTTTCTTTCTTTCTTTCTTTCTTTCTTTCTTTCTTTCTTTCTTTCAGTAGAGACAGGGTCTCTCTCTTGCTCAGGCTGGTCTCAAACTCCTGAGCTCAAACAATCCACCCGCCTCAGCCACCCAGAACACTAGGATCACAGGCGTGAGCCACCATGCCTGGCTCAAAATGCTTTTTTTAAGTGCTGAAAATACAATGGTGAACATGGAGCTTCCATATGGTGGGAGTGACAGATAATAAACAACAGAACATATAATACAATGGCATATAATAATGAGCACTGTAAAGAAATTAATGAGAATGCTTTTTTTACATAGGGTGGTAAGAAATGGCTTCTATGAGGAGATGACATTTGACAAAGACCTGAGTAGAGTGAGGACACAAACCATGTGGCTATCTAGGAGGAAGAGTATTGTAGGCAAAGGAAACAGCATATGCAAAGGTCCTGAGGCAGCATGTTCATGGTGCTCCTGAGACAACAAGAAGGCCAGTGTAGGCCAGGCGCGGTGGCTCATGCCTGTAATCCTAGCACTCTGGGAGGCCAAGGTGGGCGGATTGCTCGAGGTCAGGAGTTCGAAACCAGCCTGAGCAAGAGCGAGTCCTCCTATATATATGTTTTGGTTATCAGTTCTTTTCTTTTCTTTTCTTTTCTTTTCTTTTTTTTTTCTTTTCTTTTCTTTTCTTT